TACCCTGTACTATAGCCCATACCTTTTTTCAAAAAATGGCTCCGAAATCACCCCAAATTTTTATTACATTTTCTGATACATATTGATGTCCTTATGCTATGTACAAAGTTTGAGTTAATTCCAACTTCAATTTCTTAAGTTATGACTATTCTTTTAAACTCCAAATCTCTGAAAAATACCCTACACTATACAGTATAGCCTATCCCTTGAATCCAATACAGAAATACCAAAAAGTAAAAATAAAAGAACACAAATCTTCCTAACAAATGAAAATTTCCGGTATATATGGTTTTGTCATGATTTCAGTGAAGAGGTGAATCAATACTGAAAGGCAAAAAAATATTTTAGCAAATTACAAAGGAATAGTGTCAGCCTCAAATGTAAACTTAAGGCTGGTTTACAATATTACGCTAGTCCTGACATTACGTTGACACTGGAATGGAATCTGGTTCTATTCTAGCGAAAAGGATGCATCAAAAGGTCAAATCACCCACGCTTTTGATTAAAAATTGATGGTACATTGGCCTAACGTCATATTGTAAACTAGCCTTTACATAGAAGAGCATTAACTGCAATGTAAACATTAAAATCAAACAGTACATATCATAAATTCTGGCTTCAAATCTCTAAGTAATAGCAATACTAATATTCCAATTATAACTATGAAGTAATAACTCAGGGTAGATGATATCATCTCTTGGTAATTGGAATTACTATGCAATGTACTTGTAATAGCATTAATAATTTCCTGTGGGCTTTTTATTATCAATTAAATATTCCCATGTCTGCCAATACAAATAGTTATAGTACAGTATAGCTGGAAAAATTGGCGGTTTAAAACATTGGTGGCTTTGCATCAAAATTGCCTAAATATAATATTGGCGGTCTCTTAATTTGGTGGGTTACTATCTTGCCTTTTCTTTGCACACTCTCAGCTCTTCTTGAAGCTCCTCCTTGGAAGTCCCTGCCCACAATCTTGACTAGAATGCTGCTATTTTGGCATTTTTAGTACATGTATAATGTGCTCATGATGGGATCCGCCCATCATTGCAATTATTATTGACGGTTGTAATATTGGTGGTTTTATTTTGAACCGCCAATCTGCTAAATTTAATTGTCCGCCAAATTTTCCAGCTATACCATAAGTCATACCTTGCGGTAATGTAAGAGGTTTGCTCCTTCATGTCCACATGATGCCTACTGCAACCTCTTAGTGGGACATTAAGTATGATCTGGGACCTGTTTTGACTCCATAGAACTCTTGGCACTAAACTGAATAAAAAAAACACAGTCACCACACTGTTCACTATCATGCATAAATTTCATGTACTTTTCTATAATGTTAGTAGGAGATTCTTTAACAATGTGACATGAGACTGAAACAGCTTTGGGTTCCTCTTCCTCATAATCACTACTCAAGAAACACTCCCCATTCATTGGAAGAGGCGTCTCAATCATTAGACCAAGTGATTCTGCAATATCTTTAAATGATAAAAGTTGACTTAAAGTTGAGAGGACGGATGGCTTTAGTGATGATACTAGGGCGGAGATGTGATGTGTTAAGAGCAAAGGATAAAAGAGACTTGAAGCTAACAGAGATAAAAGGAGTGACTCCTGCAACTAAAGAATATAAATACAATACATAACTATTAAATGCAATACATTATAGAGGACTATTAGAGGTGGGATGAATCTAAAATTATAGCATTCAAACATTCTATTGACCAAAATAAACAAATGATCCAATGATTGCACGATGGAATTAGATTATTCTTAATCAATTAGTTTTGTTTAGATTGCTCTAATTAAATGCAGGACCCTACATGTACAGTGTAATAGCACATCAAATCTTCCCAAATAGGTTATATCAAGAGTACATAATTTACAGAGAGTGTCTAACCGCACTATAGTAGCTGAAACATGACCGCGTAGAACTAAGTCACGTGAGACCAGAAGCGTGGGTGTACTTACTAAAAACACGTGTAGAAGTTAACATAAAAACAGTGGAGAAAACTTGAAGAAGCTTTAGACATCATACTAGTACACTTTATAATGCTGCTGAAGTCTGATATGCAGTACTGCTATAGCAGAGGCACCAAAACAGCCAGTAAACCTTGTTGAGCAAACTTGGCAGCCATTTTTTCCTACTCAGCCACACCCAGTATGCGGGAATGCCCAAAGATGCACAAGAAAAGGCTACGCGGTGATGTTTCAGCTATTATAGTATGGTTAGACACTCTCTGTAGATTATGTACTCTTGGTTATATGTGATTAATTAGTAGGTGCATTGGTAGGTGTGGTACATATCACACCTACTGACACACATACTTAGCATATTCGAATGCTTACTGCAATATTTCAAATGTTCTTATTACATTAGAATGCCCCAGCCTTAAATGTCACTAATACAATATAATTACTAA